GAAGAGTTTATTTGCAAAAACAGATAACTCCGTTTTTATTAATTTTCATTTTAGTTATTATTATTTAAAATGAACTCTTTATATATATATATATATATATATATATCATGGTTTGAGATTAAGAAGTAACATTTATTATACAAGTTTTGGTAACATACATAAAAATAGTATTAATAAATGGTATTAATATCCTGATATTTCATATCTACAGGCCGAACAGAATATTCCACTTTACAGTTATTTAATATAAAGTTACTGGTCTATTATTGTGGTATATTGAACAAAAACGTGGGCGATTGTGGGCAGACTTGAGCAGACTTTATGCCACAAGACAAAAGATTGGCTACACGAGACTAACCTGTGGTCTGTTAAAATCTCTCTCATGGTTTGTGTAAAATGCAGTTGGCTTTGCCGATCGACGTCATTACAGGGTAACTGATGCCACGTATGTCATTTCTGCTGAGGGCAGTACTGTTCACAGTGGTTAGTGAAAAATATGAGCTAATAATGGAATATATATTATGAGCTGAATCACACAGCACCGTCTTTCTGCAGGTTATCAAAAATACGTTGATCCAGGGATCTCTGCTGAGTTTGAAGCTGCTGCTGTGAGGTTTGGACTGACTCTTGCTCCACCTGGTGTATATAAAAGGTACATTTCTCAAATCACTTTTGTAAAACTGATCAGTTAAAAGCCATTTTAAAATTGAATTTATTTTAATCATTGCAAAGCACTGTTGACATAGTAACATTCAAGGATTTCTATTAAAATATAATAGTATTAGACTAATGTACACTACCGTTTAAAAGTTTGGGGTTGGTAGGAAGTCTCTTATGCTCAACAAGGCTGACTTTTTTAAAATCAAAAATACCTGTATAACTGTTTTCTATTTGAATATATTTTAAAATGTAATTTATTTCTGTGATCAAAGCTGAATTTTCAGCATCATTACTCCAGTCTTGTCACATGACCCTTCAGAAATCATTCTGATATGCTGATTGGACATTAAACGTTTTAATGCAATTTGATTGCCGAATAAACGTAATTTAAAAGTCAAAGTAATTTCTTTAAATAAATTAATCAATATTTAAACAATAAATAAACTGATCCCACACCTTCAAATGGTAGTGTATGTATAAAATCCTCATTTGTGTCTAAAATTGTGCTGAAATGTGATTTTGGGGATTCAGAAACAGGACGTGTCACTACAAAAGTGCTGTGAACAACGATGCAAGTAAATCTCCTGGCCTGCGTTTATGCAACACCTTCTGGAACCGAAATGTGAGTCATGATAAACGAGGTTTGGTTTAGATTATGCAACCATACTATTAAAATGTTAAACATGGAGGCTTTACTAAAATTTTGACTGATTTTGTCCTAAAGAATTTCTTTATTTCTTCTTACACAGAATAAGGCACGCAACATATTTCATAGTATTTAAGCAGTGATAAAGGCATTGCATTATAAATATACTTTATTTTAATGAAAATTATAATAATAAGAACTCAGATAAACCGTATATTGCCGTAGTCGTGTGTTTATTAGTCACGTTGAATCAATGAAAGCAGTTGAATATTTTGTTTATTCAGCTGCAGTGATAGGCATTTTCTGGGTTTCTTCTGCGAGGCGTATTTGGAGTTTCAGCATGAGAGCGCCCTCTGGCCTTTGGATGGAGATTTACTGCTGATCACAGAACCGTGCTTCACTGAAAGATACGCATGACAATCTCAGCTTCTGTCGGATCGCGATCTCGATTCCATTTCGATTTATCGTGCAGCCCTACCCAGAATGCCCATCACCCAACCACCACAATGCAAATATCTGTTTCTTTGAATCTCTTTTCACTGATTTTCAGTTGTTAAGGGAGCTCGCAGAGTTATATGAGAATGATACCTCCAGACTAGATCTATTTGTGGGCGGCCTGCTAGAATCACAGGAAGGACCAGGTCCAGTGTTTTCCAGCATCATCCTGGACCAGTTTGAACGCATAAGAAACGCTGACCGCTTCTGGTTTGAGAACAAACAAAATGGGTGGGACATTTTCCTTTGATGATTACTTAAAAAAACAGCCATATCAGTTTGGTCAGATGAGCACACTAAACACTGCAAGATATTCTTCATCTCAGGTTGTTCACTGAGGAGGAGATCCAAGCCATACGTAACACCACATTTCATGATGTCCTTCTGGACGTCACCAGTGCAGAGGAGGGCGACATTCAAAGAAATGTATTCTTCTGGGTGAACGGTAATAAGCAACCCAAATGCATTAACAACATACTCATATGTTGTACTAAAAAAATCATATGTTGTACTACAAACATACTACAAAAAATCATATTACAAAGCTGTGATGTATTTATTTTACACTTTTTGTGCAGGTGATCCCTGCCCCCAGCCTCAGCCAATCACATCCTCCGATCTTCACCCCTGCACAAAGGCCTCCTCTATGAGTTACTTTGACAACAGCAGCAAAGCTGGTTTTGGCGTAACGGTGGTGGTGCTGTTCCTGTTTCCTGTTGGTCAGTGTCATTCATCAGTTTGTGTGTGTGTGTGTGTGTGTGTGTGTGTGTGTGTGCTATAATTCAATTATAATTAAATTGCAATTTCATATATTTATAGCCCACTGCATTTGATCTGGAATTATAAAAGTTTGTTTGTTTGTTTGTTTGTTTATTGCATTAGTTATTAAACCACAGAAGAAAAATGTGAAACACAAGTAATAGTATTATACTGTATATTTTATTAAAATAATAATAATAATATGATCTTTTATTAAAAACATATTGGAATGGAACTTTGTGTGAATTGTATTATAAAATAATTAAATTATTTTATTATTAATTTAATTTAATTTATTTTTTAAATTATTATTATAATAGTATTATTTATTAGATTATAGTATTAAAATAGTATTATTTATTAGAATTTTAAATAACAGTATTTTATATATCGTATTTTATATAACAATAATTATATATTTTCATGTTTTGTTTAAAATTTAGAATGTAATTCTTGATTTTAAGTAAAAATATATAACAACATTATTTATTTATTTATTTTATTTTATTTAATCTAGCTTAAACTTTGTGTATTTTCCATTTAAAATAACTAAAATGTAAAATAATAGTATTATTTATTGGATAATAGAATTCAAAATAGTATTAATTATCAGAATTTTAAATGATAGTATTTTATATATAATATTTTATATAAATAATAGTATTTTTATTTAACAATAATTATGTATTTTCATATTTTAAGAAAGATTGGAATGTTATTCTTGTTTTAAAGTAAAAATATATAACATTATTTATTTATTTATTAATTAAGCTAGCTTAAACTTTGTGTAAATTTCCGTTTAAAATAATATAGCATTTAATATAAATAATAAACATTTTATATAATAATAATTATGTACAGTATTTTCATTATTTTTAATGTTTTGTTTAAAAAATATTGAAATGTTGATCTCTCGACAGCAAGCTACATCGTAGCTTGTGTAGTTGCTCGTGTCCGGACAGCCAGATACAAACGATTCCAAAAGAAGCTCAGAGGTTCCACCACAGACAAGAAACCTGCACATGAAACTATTGGTCAGTAATATCACATGCAGTGTCACATTGGTCTGAAATGCCAGTGAAGATGAGTTTATTAACCTCTGTCATTTCATTTTATTTTTTTTATTCAGCCAAAGAGTGGTTAGGGCACAATACAGCACCCCGACAAGTCGCACTTGCGTTCAACGAGAAGACAGTACTCCAGACCTTTGATGAGAACGGGTCTCTTCTCAGTTCTCACAGCTTGGGCAATCAAGACCACCTCAATGTGTTAATATCCAATGACCATCAGCATCGTGCTCTACTCTTGAAGATCCCCAAAGAGTATGATCTGGTAGGAATTTGGTAGTTCAGTCTGTTGCCATCATTCATCTAATGCTCAGTGAGACATTATGCTGGATTTCTGTCCAAAAGGTTTTGTTCTTTGAGGACGTTGGTCAGAGGTCAAAGTTCCTGGGTCACCTGCGCTCTGAGCTGGAGGGCAGAATTCTAACTGTAAAGGAAATGAGTGAGAAAGAGATTCTCAGAGATGCAGTGACCAGAGCACAGAGGGAAAAGATTGTGGAGACGTTCTTCAAGCACGCTTTTTCAAAGGTAAGTGTTTCTCCTCATATGTCTACAAGGTCATTTTGTCTTCGTTCTACTGACAAAGTGTCACAAAGTCGTGGAGTAGCGTCATACATGTGTTTTTTGACTCCAGGTCTTGGACATTGATAAAAGTGATGCAGGAGACTTGAGCAATAGGACCAGAGAAGCTTTACAGTGTGAGCTCACACGAGTTGAATTCGCCAGCGTGCTCGGTCTGAAGCCTGACTCACTCTTTGTAGAGTCCATGTTCACACTGGCTGACAAGGACGGTAACGGATACCTTTCGTTTCAGGAGTTCTTGGATGTTATTGTCATTTTCATGACAGGTGAGGTTGTTCAAATCTTTTGTATTGCAGTGCAGTGTTACAATTTCGTCTTTTTAAAATACTACAAAGTTAGTGTTAAAATGTTTTGATGTTACAATGCTAGAAAGTAGTGGTCGACCGATATATCGCCAAGGTAGATATATCGGCCGATATTTGGCATTTTTCAAATATCGGCATCGGCCGATAAGTTTTTCTGTTTGGCCGATGTGTTCGAGGCGGGACTTTTATTTTGACGGCGCTGAGAGCAGCAGCCGCAGGGCATGAGCGCACACCGCTCACATTCTCCCTCTTGTTCGCTGTCGTCGTTCAATTCTGTCTAATATGGATATAAGTCTATCTAATAATCAGATAGAACTGTTAAACAAATGAATTAAAATGTATACAAAAAGTATTATAACGATTGCTTTAATATTATTAGTAATAGAAAGGCAAACATTATAATACTTTCTCATTTGCCGTCAGCATTCAGCAAACATGCATTTATATCATTTAAACAAATCTTTGAATAACTAATGAACATTTAATTTCCCAAGCCTTGCAGACTTAGTCGAATCTAGTTGAGATCTTGTGAAGTGTGCATTTGTATCCTGCATGATCGCGTGTTCTCTGGGTGACGGTCGATCCGTGCAAATTGAATGCTGACAGGATGAATGCTGACGCGCGATTGACAAACTTTAAACTCGTGATTCCAAATTATGCTGCGCTTTATGCAGTTGCCCACTTTCATATTCAAAGTATGTTTATTTTACACAATTATTTTAATCCATTTTCAAATGATTTCAAATGTCTTAAATATAAATAAAATTATATCGGCTTTATATCGGCCATCGGCCACCCTGCTTTTCCAAGATATCGGCATCGGTATCGGCTGTCAAAAAACCCATATCGGTCGACCACTACTAGAAAGTTACCTTGCTACTGATGTTACAATGTTATAGTATTACAATGCTACAAAGTTACCTTTTTATGTTGTTAGGATGTTTTACAATTTTACAGTGATACAATGTTAGAATATAGCCTCGTTCAGACTGTCAGCCCAAATCCGATTGAAATCCGATCATATTTAGAAAGTCTGAAAGGCAACGAACTACATGAAATCCAATTTGTGCAAATCCGTTTCGAGCTACATTCGTATATGGTTTGGAATCCTCTTCAAATCGCGTTTCTGGAAATTCGTTTAAGTCTGACCGCTCAGATCGGATTTAGCATAGATTTTTCACATTCTCTTGCCACGTAAAACATAAACATGTCAGACATTTTTGTAGAAAACATAACGAATGTCTTTGCAGAAACAAGCTTGTGTTGTTGCAAACTGTAAGTCAAGCGGGAAAAGACAATAGACTGCCAGTATACCGATATACGCACCTCTTTGAGTGTTGAAGCCAGCGGAGAAGGCAGCACGGAATAAAGTCGCACATTCCAACTTCCTGCGTTTCTGCCGCTGCCTCATAATTCAGCGCGACGGCAACATGTCGTCATGTCATAAGACAGCATCTGTATTGCAAACTGTATTGCTGTTATTGTTGTTTTTAGCGTAGGCATAACAACGCAATGGCATTGCCATAGAAACCAAGGCACATTCCGTAAAATGAAAGAGCGTTTATGGACACACAAATTGGATATGAACAGTTGCAATACACTGTCACTGATTCAAATCAAATTCCATCTGACTGTGCACAAAAGTCTGAACGAGGCTTATTACTATGCTACAAATTTACATTGTTAGAATGTTACAATTGTAATAAAATTTCTCAGCGTTTCAGTGTTAGAATGTTACCGTTTTACGATATTACAATGCTACTAAGCTACTTTGTTGCATTTTTAGGCTGTTACACTTTTACAATTTTACAATGTCACAATGCTACAAAGTGACGTTGTTAGGATATTACAGTTTTACATTTTTACAATGTTACAGTTTTATGATGTTACAATGCTTAACTTGTTACATTGTTGTTACATGATATAACCGTTTTTCAATTTTATAGCTTTTTGATGTTACAACGTTACAGTATTAGAATGTTACAATGCTACAAAATCACCTTGCTATGTTGTTAGGATGTTACAATTTTATAATATTGCAGCATTACAATGTTACAAAGTAACCTTGTGTTGTTAGAATGCTACAGTTTTACAGTGTTATGGTGTTACTGTGTTGTGTTGGTAAGAGTGTTACAATGTTCGCTGTAAATCCAGGTACTCCCGAGGAGAAGTCCAAGCTTCTGTTTTCAATGCATGACATTAAAGAAGATGGCTTCTTGTCCAAGGAAGAGTTCACTTCCTTACTCAGGTCCGTTCTGATGTTTGTTTGTTTTTGAGCCTTGTAGAGAGCAAAAGTGTTTTGTGCAAACATTTCTTGATAATAACCTGAAATTAGAGATTCAGATTACACTTTTACACTTCAATAAATCCTCTGAAGGATTTCTTCTTTCTTCTAGCCAGTTTTTCCTCTTGTCTTGTGCAGGTCTTTCATTGATATCTCTGGAAGTGCTTTATCTAAGAGTCAGGCTGAGGATGGTATAGCAGCTATGCTTCAGGCAGCAGGTCTTGACAACAAAGATTCCTTCTCCTGGGAGGACTTTCACTTTCTGCTGCGAGACCATTCAGCTCAGCTCAATATTAAAGGTTAAAGATATATTTTTCTTCATGGTCTAATCCCCCATGTCATTATATTTCTTAGTTCACCCAACACAGAGGCATTTTACTTTGAAACTGTTGTTCATGTATTCCCAGGCATGGAAGTACTTGGTAAGAAAAAACTATCCAGACAACAGCAAGTATCTTTCATTAAGAAAAATAGGTAAAGAAAGTATATAACATGAAACTCATTCTAAATGAGTACACAGTAATACAGCTAAAGTTGATTTTAATTTCCTTTGTAGTTCTTCAGCTGTGGAAGAGCTTACTCACAGGCCTGAGGGGGAGCAAGACCAGGAACTTCGTCAAAGACAGATCAAGAAGTGAGACGTTAATGTATAATATCTCTGCTGTGGTTATCTAAAAGCATGTGTAGCATTATGTAATGTGTCCTGACATGTGTATGGTCATTAGGAGCTCAGCTAGGGGTTAGATTTAAGTCTTTGTGAAACCCGTCATTTATTGGCTATTGAGAAATGTGGCAATCAGTATTTGTGGGAAGTGATGCCAGCATTCTGTGATGTAATATTGGTCAGGTTTCGCTTTGAACATCATAATCTTTAGTGGAATGTGACTAAATTAAACAGGCTGATGCATTAGCAGAAATAACTAGATTTTTACATATTATGAAGACAATGTGAGTGGAGATGACCTGTACAATAGTCACCACAATGATTTTAAGTTGTAGGCATTTGGGAGGATGTTACTATGCAATTGCAGACAGTTAACTAACTAAATAGGCAGACAGACTAATAACTAACTAGACCAGGGGTGTCCAATCCTCCTCCTGGAGGGCCTCTGTCCTGCAAAGTTCAGCTCCAACCCCAATTAATATAACTTGAACCAGCTAATCAAGGTCTTACTATGTATACTTGAAACTTCCAGTCAAGTTAGAGCTAAACTGTTAGAGCTAGGACTGAGTTTGGATATCCCTGAACTAGACAGACAAGAATACAGATAGTTAACTATACATACAAATGGATAGACAGATAAATAGTTTGTTAGTAATCTGTCTGTCTGTATAATTCGTTTTCTCTCTGGCTGTCTTTCTGTCTGGTTAGTTATCTGTCTGGCTGTATTTTTTCTGTCTAGTTATTTAGTTATCCACCTGTCCGTCTCTCTAATTAGTTATCTGTCTGGCTGACTTTCTGCTTAGTTTGTTTATTATTCACCTGTCTGTATATCTGTCTGTCTAATTAGTTACTTATCTGTGTTTCTATCTAGTTTGTAAGTTATCCATCTGTCGGTCTATCTAATTAGTTATGTCTCTGGTTGTCTTTCTGTCTGGTTATTTATCTGTCTGTCTGGCTGTTTTTCTATCTAGTTATTTAGTTATCCACCTGTCGGTTTTTTGAATTAGTTATCTAACTGGCTGTCTTTCTGTGTACTAGTTATTCGTCCACCTGTCAGTTTATCTAATTAGTAAACTAACTGGCTTTCTGTCTAGTTATTTATTTGTCCAGATGTCTGTCTGTCTAAATAGTTAGTTGTTTATCGGCTTGTCTTTCTATCTAGTTAGTTATCCACCTCTTTGTATAATTAGTTACGTATCTGCCTGTTTATTAGTTATTTATCCAGCTCTTCTTTTGGTCTAATTAGTTCATTATTCACCTGTCTGTCGATTAGTTAGTTATGTATTGATTAGTTTTCTACCTGACTGTCTTTCTGTCTATTTATTTCTCAAACTTGGGTTAACTCTCTGGCTGTTTCTCTGTATAGTTAGTAAATTGTCCACCTGTCCGTCCAATTAGTTAGTTATAAGACAGCTATATGGCTGTCTTTCTATCTTGTTAGTTATCTTACCTGTCTACCTAATTAGTTATAATGACTGTGAGGGAGATAACTGAATAGACTTACATAAAAACAGGTGGATAACTAAACAGAAAGAAAGACAGCCAGATAGATAACTATGTAGTTAGTATCCATCTGTCCGTCTAACCTACTAACTAGCTAGACACATATATAGAGAAAACAGTGACACTGTCACCAGAATCAGAGCAGCCTGAAGGACTGTGCCAGTGACAGTGTAAAAAATCCAACCCAAGGTTAAGCAATAAAGGTGTGTTGTTTTTGTCAAGCCACCCTACTTAAAGCGTAATATGTTCCTTTTCCCTTGTTAGAATTGAACAAAGCAACCCAAAGGTGTATGTGAGGCCTCAGAGAGAACGCTACAATAGAAACCCAGTGCAGCAATGGATCCAGCAGTTCAAACGCTTCATAGAAAACTACAGAAGACATATCATTTGCGTAGTCATCATATATGGGATCACAGCTGGACTAGCACTGGAAAGATGCTACTGTAAGTGTCCCTTTATATTCTCTCTTTTCATCACTGAACATTGTATTGTGCATATTTAAGCCCTAACTTGATTTATTATGATCATGTTGAATTGTTCCTAATTTGTGACACTGGAAATTCGCACTAATGGTTGCAAACCAATAGCAATGTTTGTAGATTATGGTTTACAGGCCCACGCCAGTGGCATCCCAGAGACCTCCATGGTGGGTGTGCTCGTGTCTCGTGGTTCTGCGGCCGCCATCTCCTTCCTGTTTCCCTACATGCTCCTCACTGTGTGCCGTAACCTGATAACCATGTGCAGGGAGACTTTTCTCAACAGGTACATCCCATTCGATGCGGCCATTGACCTTCACCGTCACATGGCTATAGCTGCTGTTGTCCTCTCAGGTCAGAAAATATCAATTCCCTCTACGTGCAAAACGCTAGCATTTAATATTTAAACTTCCTTAATTGCCTTTCAAATGAATTTCACCACAGATATGATTCAGTAGAATGTTACATCACCATAATTATGCTTTAACACTTTGTGTGTCAAGACATATTTGTGCAGTTGATAGCATATGTGAATCACGATTGATGCATTTAATTACCAGGGTTCAAAGTTCCGTTACGTAATGTAACGTTTCCTCAAAGTGATGTCATACATCAATTATATTAATACATGTGCTCATATAATATTTTATTTATTTATTTAATGTTTGTTTTTTTGTGCCAGTTGTTCACAGTTTGGGTCATGTGGTCAACGTTTACATTTTCTGCATCAGTGACCTCAGCATTCTTGCCTGCCTGTTTCCTAGAGTGTTCTCCAACAATGGGTAATGCTTGATTAACATATGAAACGTTTTAGTTGGATGTTCATCTAACAATTTTTAGATGTTACTACTGTTTCAGATGGTTCTAAGAACATTCAAAAATAATGTTCCCATAATGTTTGATAAAATGGAATGTTCTCTGGAATGTTTGTGTAACCATGGCAAAAAAACGGGATGTTTTGAATGTTCAAAGAACATTAAGAAATAACATTTTTATAACTTAATGGGAACTTAGAATATTCTTAGAACATATTTTTCTCTGGGAAACTGGGAAGCTAGTGCAGGAGCCTTGCCCAAAATTCTGTGTGTTGGTCATTTGCAGGTCTGAGCTTCCAATGAAATGGACCTTCTGGTTTTTCAAGACAGTTCCTGGTATAGCTGCACATTCAGTGTTGTTTTGATATATTCAGTATTAAATTTACAGAGTCGGTTTATTATTTTTCTAGATGTCTGTTTGCTGTAACACTCTGTTTTGTTTTTCTTCAGGTCTCACTGGAGTTCTTTTGCTGTTGATTTTCGCCTTTATGTATGTCTTCGCCTCGCACTATTTCAGACGCATCAGCTTTAGAGGATTCTGGATCACACACCACCTATATGTGCTCGTCTATGTCCTGGTAAAGGAAAAAAGCACCTATCCATTTTATGAGTTTTAATAGAGTGTTAGAGCTTCAGTATTATGTACTAAGAAAAATTGTTGAAATATAGTTGAAATTCAGACAGTGGGAGATCAAAATCAAAAAATATATATCCAGAAATGATTATGATTAGAATAATTTCAAATTTTTTGTTTAAATGTATTTGTTTGTTTGTCTGTATTTCAAAACATGAGTCTGTTTTTTTAAAACACAAATCTTTCTCAATCATTTTTTGTTTTCATTTTTGAAAGTTGCACGTCTGGCGTGGACACTGGACACAGAAACTGTGAACACTGACTTTCTCTCTTTCTCTCTCATCTCATTTGGCAGACTGTGATCCACGGCAGCTACGCCCTCCTCCAGGAGCCCCGCTTCCACATCTACCTGATCCCCCCTGGCCTCCTCTTCCTCCTGGACAAGCTTATTTTCGGCCTCTCTCGCGCATCTCGCTCTCTCTCGGACACACTCGGTCTCTCTCGCGCACTGTCGCTCTCTCTCTCCGCGTTCGCTTCACTTTTGTCCAGCCCGCCGCCTCATACTCATCAGCCTCAACAGGAAGAAGGTGGAGATCCCAGTGGTGAAAGCCGAGCTGCTGCCCTCAGGTAGACAATACTCTCAGCAGATCCAGCACAAAGCTCTTTTATCTCAAGAGTCTCCAAGGGCCCGAGCACACAGCGCTGTGTCATGTGCTGTAAAGTGTTCACTTCTAATTGCTCTGGCTGTGAAATCATACGGCGTCTCATAATAGGAAACCTTGACTCCAATTCAGGACTCACTTTATTGATTTAAAAATGAAATGATGTTTAAAATCACCAATTAGGTAACACTTTCTTTCAATAGTCCACTTTAGACATTCTACTAGCGATAAGAAACTTATTTGCAACTATGTCAACTATGAATCATTAGAGTATTAGTAGAATATCTGCTTAGTATCTGCTAACACTTTATTTTGATAGTCACCCAATAGTCATTCTACTGATTATAAGCATTGTTGGGGAAAGTTACTTTTGAAAGTAATCCGTTACAATATTGCGTTACTCCATTACAAAAGTAACTAATTACGTTACTTAGTTACTTTTTATCGAAAGTAATACATTACATAATTGTTTTATTACTTTTTGTCACTTGAACTGGGCTCGCTTATTTATTTTTAATAACAGCAAACCCAAAAGTTATGTTTTTGGCAACTGTAAAGGCCCTTTCACCTTTCACATTCAAAGGCCCTTTGAAATGAATAAGCCTCAGCTTGAAGGAAGTGCCGCTACACTTACTCCCAATTTCTCTCAGCTCGGGGACAGGAGAGGTGTCTTGCATTACTTTTAAAGGGTTAGTTCACCCCAAAAAATTCTGTCATTAATTACTTACCTTCATGTCGTTCCAAACTCCTAAGACCTCGGCGTAAAGTCATTTTATTTTTTTCTTTTGCGCACAAAAGTTTTCTCGTAGCTTCATAAAATTACGGTTGAACCCCTGATGTCACATGGATTATTTTACCGATCTCCTTGCTAAGTTTCTGGACCTTGATCGTGTAAGAATCCTTGCTGTCTGTGGGAGGGTCAGAGAGCTCTCAGATTCCGAAGATGAACAGAGGTCTTACGGGTTTGGAACGACATGAGGGTGAGTAATTAATGACAGAATTTTCATTTTTGGGTGAACTATCCCTTTAAGTAACTTTCATTACTTTTTTGAAAAAGTAACAGATATTTTCTTATAAATTTAAAAGTAATGTGTTACTTTACTAGTTACTTGAAAAAGTAATCTGATTACGTAACTCGCTTTACTTAAAATGTGTTAGCCCCAACGCTGACTATAAGTAACTTTGCTTGTACATGTGAACTTAAACTAACTCTAACCTTAAAATAACATAAAATAAACAGTCTACTAAAACTCAAATGAAAGTTAGTTGACATGTACTGGCAAAGTTATTTATGGTAAGTAGAATTTCTAAAGTGGACTAGTAGCACTGATAACAAACCTGATTCTCAATTTCTCTGAACTGCCAGATGTAACTTACCTGGAGTTTAAGCGTCCACAAGGTTTTGTCTACCGCTCAGGACAGTGGGTACGTATTGCATGCCTGGCGCTGGGCACAGATGAGTACCATCCTTTCACCCTGACCTCCGCACCACATGAGGAGACCCTCAGCCTTCATATCCGTGCAGTGGGACCCTGGACCAGCAAACTCCGAGAGGCCTACACCCCTGAGAAACTCCAGGAGTTTGGAGGATATCCAAAGGCAAGGACACCCAGTTTGTCTTTGGTTCATATAGATGTAGATAAACCTGAATGCAGCCGATACGATAACCGATTATTTAGAATTATATCTGCCGATACCGATACTATACAGGGAGCCCCCTCATTTGGTACATAATATTAGAAGTTAAAATGAATAACAAAACTATTATATTCAACGCTATTTATTTTCAGATATATTAATCCCTTGTTCTGTCACTTGAACTGAGGCGCTACAGCACTCTGTCGCACCAAATTTAAGAGTGTAAAAAGGACATTTATTGTTTGAATTTTGTGATAAAATGAACAGTATTTGAAAGCTCGACCCTGCTGTATCTCCATGAATAACAAAACTATTATATTCAACGCTATTTATTTTCAGATATATTAATCCCTTGTTCTGTCACTTGAACTGAGGCGCTACAGCACTCTGTCGCACCACATTTAAGAGTGTAAAAAGGACATTTATTGTTTGAATTTTGTGATAAAATGAACAGTATCTGAAAGCTCGACCCTGCTGTATCTCCACAGCTGTATCTGGATGGGCCATTTGGGGAGGGTCATCAGGAGTGGACAGACTATGAGGTGTCAGTATTGGTGGGTGCTGGGATTGGAGTCACACCCTTTGCTTCCATCTTAAAAGACCTGGTGTTCAAATCTTCAGTCAAGTTCAAATTTCACTGCAAAAAGGTACAATACAACGTGCAAAAAGTTTTCAATGTCCTGTAATTAATGATTACGTTTTTAACAACTCTTAACACGGTGGCTCTAGGTGTATTTTATCTGGGTGACACGGACTCAGCGTCAGTTCGAGTGGGTGTCTGACATCATAAGAGAGGTGGAGGACATGGACGCTCAGGAGCTGGTGTCAGTGCACTTCTACATCACACAGCTGGCTGAGAAATTCGATCTCCGCACCACCATGCTGGTAAATCCATTGTTTACTTGAGAATAATAAGAGTTTTTTATTGGTTTATAAGGTTACTGTAAGTTCCACTGAACTACTGTAACGTAATTAAAAGCAGGTTAACTGATATGAAGTTATGGTTGGGTGTAAAATCATCACTCTTTCTCTTTCTCAAGTATGTCTGTGAGCGGCACTTTCAGAAGGTGTGGAACAGGAGTCTGTTCACTGGCCTGCGCTCCATCACACACTTCGGCCGCCCACCCTTTTTGGCTTTTCTCAGTTCGCTACAGGAAGTTCATCCAGAGGTTAGAAGCCAAATAATTTGCATCTAAGATGCATTGGAGCTTTACCGTTAACTCTTTCCCCGCCAGCGTTTTTGACAAAAGTTGCCAGCCACCACCAGCGTTTTTGCTGATTTTCACTAAAATTTCATGGCCCTCAGAATATTTTGTTGTATGAACATCTGAACATGCAATACAACAAAATAAAGATCAGACAGTTTTATTCTAGCTTCAAGCATTGTGTTTTTATCAACACTTGAATGTAGGTGGGTTTCATAAAAAAAGCAACATTTTGAGAAAAAAGCTGAGAAAATCGCATTTTTATTAAATATACCTCTGGATCATATTCAGTAATATTATCAAAGCAAAGATGCAGTAGATGGCTTCCATCAGTACTCCCAAAGCTTGCACAGGCCTTTACCACTTTCTGGATTGACATTTCACTCGGTAACATTAGGCAGTTTTCATTTATATGCGGTTAGTGTTGATGATTGCATTATTTTTTCATATGCATATGCTTACTTTCATATGCATATGCTTGAGATCGCTCGTTTCTGCGTCTTCCTGGTCTGTGTTTTTGATCGCCACTTTCAGGAGATGCGTAATTGCGCCCCCTAGCGTATAACACGGAAACACGGAAAATTCCGTGTTTGGCAGGGAAGCGTTGTCTCATGAATAACAGAAAATTCCGTGTTTGGCGGGGAAAGAGTTAAACTCCACCAAGGACAACAACTATAATGATAATTATAAAGTTTTTAATAATCATTCTAGTTCTATGAGTATAGGAAAGTTTACACCACAATGATAATGACACAAAGGAACAATATCGTTGGAGTCACTTTCAGAAACATTTTTCCAGCTGATGAATGATAAAACATTGACAGCCAATCAGAATCAAGCTGACTTAAAGAGCTTGAGCATTTACAGGGGAGATGATAAAACTGCAGCATGCACTTATAATAATAGTAGATTATTGTGTTGTTGTGGACGCTAATACAGTTATCCTTATAGTTATGTTTATCATTATAGCTATCTTTATCATTATAGTTATCATTATAGTTATCTTTATCATTATGGTTATCATTAAAGTTATCTTTATCGTTACAGTTATCGTTATTATCTTTATCGTTATCGTTATAGTTATCTTTATCCTTATAGTCATTATTATAGTTATGTTTATCATTATAGCTATCTTTATCATTAGCTTGAGCATTTACAGGGGAGATGATAAAACTGCAGCATGCACTTATAATAATAGTAGATTATTGTGTTGTTGTGGACGCTAATACAGTTATCCTTATAGTTATCTTTATTGTTATAGTTACAATTATCTTTATCGTTATCGTTATAGTTATCTTTATCATTATGGTTATCATTAAAGTTATCTTTATCGTTATTATCTTTATTGTTATAGTTACAATTATCTTTATCGTTATCGTTATAGTTATCTTTATCATTATGGTTATCATTAAAGTTATCTTTATCGTTATTATCTTTATTGTTATAGTTACAATTATCTTTATCGTTATCGTTATAGTTATCTTTATCATTATGGTTATCATTAAAGTTATCTTTATCGTTATTATCTTTATTGTTATAGTTACAATTATCTTTATCGTTATCGTTATAGTTATCTTTATCATTATGGTTATCATTAAAGTTATCTTTATCGTTATTATCTTTATTGTTATAGTTATCATTCTAGTTATTGTTATAGTTATCGTTAAAGTTATCTTTATCTTTACAGTTATCCTTATAGTTATAGTTATCGTTATTATCTTTATTGTTATAGTTATCATTCTAGTTATAGTTAGTCTTATAGTCATTATTATAGTTATGTTTATCATTATAGCTATCTTTATCATTATAGTTATCATTATAGTTATCTTTATCATTATGGTTATCATTAAAGTTATCTTTATCGTTACAGTTATCGTTATTATCTTTATCGTTATCGTTATAGTTATCTTTATCATTATGGTTATCATTAAAGTTATCTTTATCGTTACAGTTATCGTTATTATCTTTATCGTTATCGTTATAGTTATCTTTATCATTATGGTTATCATTAAAGTTATCTTTATCGTTACAGTTATCGTTATTATCTTTATCGTTATCGTTATAGTTATCTTTATCATTATGGTTATCATTAAAGTTATCTTTATCGTTACAGTTATCGTTATTATCTTTATCGTTATCGTTATAGTTATCTTTATCATTATGGTTATCATTAAAGTTATCTTTATCGTTACAGTTATCGTTATTATCTTTATCGTTATCGTTATAGTTATCTTTATCATTATGGTTATCATTAAAGTTATCTTTATCGTTACAGTTATCGTTATTATCTTTATCGTTATCGTTATAGTTATCTTTATCATTATGGTTATCATTAAAGTTATCTTTATCGTTACAGTTATCGTTATTATCTTTATTGTTATAGTTATCATTCTAGTTATTGTTATAGGTACAGTTATCGTTAAAGTTATTTATCGTTACATTTATCCTTATATTTATAGTTATTATTATTGTTATAGTTATCATTCTAGTTATAGTTATCGTTAAAGTTATCTTTATCATTACAGTTATCCTTATAGTTATCATTATTATCTTTTTTGTTATAGTTATAGTTATCGTTGTAGTTATTGTTATAGTTATCTTAATCGTTATGGTTGTCGTTATTGTTACAGTTATGTTTATAGTTATAGTTATCATTATAGTTATCTTTATTGTTAAAGTTATCTTTATCAGTAGTTATCATTATTATTATCATCATAGTTATCTTTATGTTATAGTTAGTTATCATTAGCATTATTTTTGTAGTTATTGTTGTAGTTATCGCTATAGTTATCTTTATCGTTATGGTTATTGTTAAAGTTATCTTTGTCATTACAGTTATCCTTATAGTTATCATTATAGTTATTATCTTAATTGTTATAGTTATCGTTATAGTTATCTTTATCGTTATGGTTATTGTTAAAGTTATCTTTATCGTTACAGTTATCATTATAGATATAGTTATCTTTACAGTTGTAGGGCATGTACTATTGCATTTTTCTAAATCTTCATGTATTAGTAAATATCTGTGATTCATATGGGATCTTATGAAAGGAGTCATTTTAAGTTTTAAGTTTTAGGTTAATAAGTCATTTAATTAGATCATTGTGACAGTTACATCAACCTCACGTACACCACTGATGATTTTTCTTTGTTAAAGGTGGAGAAGATCGGCGTGGTCAGCTGTGGGCCTCCCGGTCTGACTAAGAATGTTGAGAAGGCCTGCCAGCAAATGAACAAACGCGACCAGACACATTTTGTTCACCACTATGAGAACTTCTAGACTGTATGATTGAATCATATAAGAAATACTTAACAACAAATCACTGAATCATCAGTATTGATTCATTTTGAATAGCCTGGAATACATTATTCCATTTAAAACAGCCTGAGTTGCCATTACTAGTTGGTAAAGTTGAGGTCATATGAATCTATACATTTTTGCATTGTTTTCTGTGTTTCTCTCTTTGAATGCAAAAGTACGTATAAATGATGTACACTGTAGTTTTAGTTTTAGTTTATTTCATTTATTTGTACAGGAACAATGCACAACAACAGTGTTGTGCCAGAGTTAGCTATAAAGATCATTTACATCTGCAGTCCCTGGGCAGGATGTTGTTAAAAAATTACAATATTAAGTCACAAACAATACAATACATACAACACATACAAAATCACATTAAATTACAAAGCCAAGTCAATGATCACATATTTGATTTTCCTTAAGCCATACTTTAAGCATAGTTTTAAAAATACTAAATGTTGTACACTCTCTAATATAAATAGGTATTAAATTCCATCTTGTATGTAACAAATGATGAATAAATGAAGTGTTATTCCATTTTTGTCTGTAATTGTCATTTGAGGGTTATTGTTGATGTCTCATTATCATTATCACTAAAAGGACTAATCAAATTCCAACTTCAGCTTTTTTGATTGAATTTGATTATTTTGTCTTAAAAATTAACTTTTTCTCTTTTGATGATGCCTCTTACCTTCAAATCGTTCAACAGTCAGTTCAACAATAGTATGAATTTTCCATCAACACAACAGCTGAGATGAGCATCCTTTTTATATAAAACTTTTCCAAATGTGCATATGTTTATAAACAGGTAGGCCTATATGTTTGTAGATATATCTGTACAAATATATTAAAAGACACAAATGTATTTTTAACTTTATATTCTTTCATACGCCTGAATTTTTGTCTGTATACTTTTTCTGTTATTTTGCTTTGAACATGATGATTTGAATCTCACCACTGGTGATAGATGGATGCTATACCATCTTACTTTCCTACTGGTTAATTGCAAGTTTGAATTTTGTATTTAAATTAGTCTTTTCGACTTGCAATCGTAAGCGCTGATAAAGGCATGTGTGGCGAAAAGAGTTGGTGAAATAAACAGAACTATTCTTTTCAGATCATTTTCACATCTCCACTTCATAGGCGTCGCTTGTATTGTTCAAAATACACTTTAATTATCTTTATCAAATAATGTACTGTAATAAACAGGTCAAAATCACTGTCACGGATGTCATAAAGTTTTAGGTCACCAGTACTCATAATACAATAAAAGTATGCTTACATTTTTTTTTTTTTTTAAGTTTTATGATATTTTATTTCAGTTTGATATTCATTCACAAAAATTATTTTTTATAGTTTTAGTTTACAATAAATACACTGGTCTGTGGCATCAAACAGTTCGAAAACCCCTGTCCTAGAGTGTGTCTGGGGCCTTAGACTGTATGCTGGATGAGAATGGGTTTAGTTTCCTGCAGATAACTCACCTCTGGTGACGGAAGATGGATTATAAAGGATATGGATTTAAAAACGGAAAATATAAATTTTATCACATGCAATGCATATGGGCACAACTATACTGTGTGCACATATATATGTGTGAATTATATTAAAAGGAATATCAGGATAAACAATAATATAATAATATTAATATTAATAGCTAATATAATGATACTAACACTTCGCAGATTTCCCATGAAAACAGCTGAGAAATGTGGTTAAAGATTTTTTTTATTGATTTCACAGCTGTAGAATTATTTTCCGAATAATTCAGATATGAACGGCTTGGCAGAGTGATCACTAAATATTATCAGCTCAAAGATATTATTACTGAGATGGAAGCTGGTGAACTAGAGTAGGCCTAAAGTTAATAAGGGATCTTGTAGCATTTGCATAATGTAGCATAATGTTTAATTATTAATTTGCCAAAATACAGTGACAAACAGACTCTGCATCCTCTAGTTGTTTGTTTCTTCAAATGTTCTCGGATTATAACTTGATGGGCTGATTTTAAAAGAATCTACGCTTTGAAAACTGATCATGATCATAAGTGTGTGATGTAATGTGGGGGTTTTTTTCACAACAATTCAGGTGTGCATTATATATGGTGAATTCGGGTAAATTAAGATGACTGGAAAAATCCCCCAATTAACCTGAATTTAGTTATATTGCTGTTATATATTAACGTGACATGTTCTTTGTATTTTTTTTCACTTGTGTGAATCATTTCCATAAAAAGCATTTCAGTTTACTGGAAGAGGAAGTGTGCAGCAATGCACGAGTGACTGGAAACACGGCCATAGTTTCTCCTCTGTTTTCATACCCTGTGGACCCTTGTAACCACAGATATGAAGTTTAAACAAAGTTATGTGCTGTCTGAGATAAAAACAAACACTAAAGCTTGTAATTAGATCAAACTATTACTCATTCCATCCACACCAAATGTTTTAGCATAATGATAAACTTAATCTCAACTTCCTTTTCAGAACTGGCCTTTCTTCAGACCTGCGATCAATGCAGCACATCTACAGTATATTTGCATATATATATATATATATATATATATATATAAACTCGGCAAAAAAAATGTACCTTTTTCAGCATACTTTTGGATAATTTTGTAAATGCCAAATAAGCCATTCATTTCTTAATTACTCTCATTAATTACTCCCCCTCATGTCGTTCCAAATCATCTTCAGAACACAAATATGTTTTTATGAAATCCGAGAGCTTTCTGACCCTTCATAGACAGCAAGGGTACTATCAAGACACAGAAACGTAGCAAGGACATAGTTAAAACAGTCCATGTGACAATAGTGGTTCAACAAAATAACAGCATTTATTTGAAATAGAACTATTTTCTAACAATTTAAATGCATTTACTGTCACTTTTGATCAGTTAAATGCATCCTTGCTAAATAAAACGTGTTAAAGCTATAAAAAAAAATCTTAGAAGTTTAAGTTTAATATTGACCATGCAAGACATATTAAAATAATCTATTCAAGCACTGATTATAAGTGGGGACTTTTGAGTAAATGGTTAATTGTTATTTAAACTGGTAATAATATAATGTTAAAAAAAGGTGAAGCAGTGGAGACTTCCTGATGCTGTAATAAAGGAGGCGTATTTACCGAGAATCATTTTAATGTAACTCCTTGATTATGATTATGTGGAATTGATAAGTGAGGGTTGGATCGGTCACGTACGCATCCTGGAATATTATCCAGTGGAATATTATATAACTGATTCACTTCCAATGCAGTGGGAAGATCAATGCTGCATCATGATTGCAATCTTGTAATTTGTGTTATAAAAAGTTGCAGTATCATCATAAAATAACGCCATCAGATGGTAATATAGTACTTTTATAATGTGTGCCAACCAGCCTGTTGTCTGTTGGTACTGAATGAATAATAGCTAAACATTGAGTCTGTTCAGGGTTAACGTGTTTAGGTGTTATTTTTTTAACATTAAATTGCTTGTTTACAATTTTACACATATAATAACCTAAATTAGTGTCTAAAGAAACTGTAAATGGTTTTGAAATTTCTATACCATATTGTATGGCATTATTTAGTGTTTACTGTAAATCAAGAGTTGAATATGAGAATATATGTGTCAGACTCTGTTCCGTGTTTTGTGTGTGTTTTGCGTCCTATGTTTCCTTTTGCCCTTATTTGGTCCTTCCCGTTCCTGTCATTATGATCATTTGTTCCCAGGTGTGTCCCATTAGGGACTTAAGCCCTGTGTTTCCTTGTCTCCAGCGTCAGGTATCGAATGTCTGTGAATGTGTCAACCTCTCCTGCTACGTGTGTTTTTCCTGGTTCCCTTAAAGACATTAAAATCTCCTGTGGTGATGTACTCCAGGGCTGCGTTCAGCCCCGACAAAAACGGTGCAAAACGTTTTTTAAACGGAAACGGTGGTGAGTTGAACACCCTGTTCTGATGACGCAAGAGTTGCAACTATGGCAGCTGAGAAGGCCATTCTTTGTGCTCTTTTTGAAGAATTTTCGGAGCCTGATGAAATCGGTATAAATACGTGTTTAATACTGCAAAATACGCTCGATGTTACAGTCACTGCCCTTGCCCTCCAGAATAAAAGAGAACATCCCAATCGAGTGAAGGGATTTGTGGAAACTGTGGTTCCTAATTATTGTGATCCTGCCTCGCATTTCAGGATGAAAAGACAAACATTTCAGGTGAAGGATAATCCACTTCTTACCCCCGAGCCTGTGTTATGATCTATATGACCTTATTATTTTTATTGTGAGTATTAGGCTTATCATTATTGCTGATCACTGTTGTTGTGCTATGATATTGTAATATTTACCATTATATAAAGTTTATGAAAGTGTCACTCCATCATACAATAGCAAAATATATAAATATGTATAGTATTTTTATGTTACATTAATCAGTTTCTAGCACACCTTCCTAAGGAAAGGATATAGGCCAGAAGACATTGCAATTACTAAATGATATTTAGACAGACTTAAAGAAATTCCAGATCTATACTTGTGCTCTTATTATTTTAGTTATTTTGCCTTTAATGTAAATAAACATGTGCAAACAATATACTTGCTCTTGTGAATTTATTTGGATTACATTGTGCGAGCTGTCTCTTTAATACCGCGTGGTTTATATACATGTTGCTGCTGATTGGGCTGACATTTTTGACACACCCACCAAACAAGAGAAAACGCATCTCAAACCCCATTGCACACCGTTTCCAGGAAACATGTCATTCAAACCGGAAACCGTAGCAAAACGGTGCACACCGGTTTGAGCTTGAACTTGCCCCAGGTCTCCTCGCTCCCGCACAGTAGCAACGTGACAGTATGAGTCAGCATGAGGTTCATGTGAAGGGAGGATTCACTTTACCAATTATGATGATTACAGATGATTTTATTTATTTATTTTGTGATGATTACTAAAGGGAAGGTGGTTTTATGAGTTTGGCTTCCTGAATGTCATGTGATTTTTATCTAATTAGAAATTCTTTCTGTATTTATCTTTTATTTTATATCTTTGTTGTCTCTATAGGTTATTTGTTTGTCATGTTTTTATGAAACCTGTTTGAAAATTAATAAAAATTAAAAATCAATAATAATACAGCTCAATTTGTGAGCGTTATATTGCTTTTATAAGGCGGCAGGTGCTCAGCCAATGGCATGAGTTTGGGGTGGGATTCAATGTTTGACGACCAATTGCAGACATGAGAGTTATTTTGTTAGGAAACCTGTTCGTAAATAATCAGCGGCGCGAACTT